TTTACAATGACAGAGCTAAATGGAAACCAACTACTGCATTTCATAGGCAGAATATCACACATCTGTAAAATAACAAAACTATCCATTAGTCTTAACCTCCTAGGACCTGGCGTCCACATATGTGGACATCACATTTTGGATTATTTAGACCAAAATACTCAATTTTGCTCTACAAGGGCCTGGTATCCACTTACAAGGACATTATGCTGCTACTGTTCTATCAAAAATTTAAACGCATATCGTCATATGTGGCTCTGATTTTTCTTAAAAACAAAAATAAAGTAAAAAAAATCAATCTGGTAATTCTTTGTTTTTACATTCATCGGGCCCCAATCAGCCCAAATATCTACGAGAAATTAAAAATGCATGCTATGGAAGAGGTTGGGTCTTAGGAGGTAAAAGCCATTTTCACAACAGTGAGGTAAAGCATTCAGCACAGTTCAATCCTAACTATAGAAATAAACACACATGTTAGCATTCACAGTATCTAAGGCAGCTCATCATCATCATCATCATCCTCATCACAGTGTAAATGAACTGAAGAAGGCTTTTGGGTTACAGTCGCAACATACTCGTTAGATGTAGATCAGTCACAGATAAGTAACATCACAGACAGACACACGTTAATTATCTATTATTATTATATTATACACACAAATGGGGATTATATTTAGAATATTATTTATTTATTTATGATTCAATGTTAAGTATAATTCTCTCTACAAGTTATTCTTACATTTTTAGAAATCTTAAGTGAAACAGAACAGTAACTGAACTAAAGTGGACACCGTGCTAGACGCCTAACAGCTTTCCAAACGATGTGCACGCTATTCCAAAAAATGAAAGGAAAGCTTTTCACTAACTCCCCTTCATGGCTAGGCTGGCATAACATTAGCTAAAAGCACAAAGCTTTCATTTCATATAAAAACTGTTATACTGAAACTCAGGTTTCTGCTTAGTTACTGACTGCAGCAGCAACATCACCATGTAGATCAGCATGTACAGGGGCAGCTGCTATGTGGTGGTAATGTTGCTGCTGCACACTTTCACAGAGCAGCAACATTAACAGTAAGGAGCTACGTATATACTCGTAAAAATAGTACATCAGCATGAATTTCCTCATTTTGTGGCAGCAGACATGTTTCAACAAGCAAGTTGAAACTCCGCCCACATTAGCACCTTTCCTTACTACATGACCGATGCAAGTATGTAACAGTCTGTTGTCATACACAGAAAAAAGTCAAGCAAAAGTTGCAAAAAATCATTTCTCAGATTTTATTCACTTATATTTACCATTGATTTAAAGAAAAGATTTGACATTAGATAACAGGGTCCTGATGCTTGTCTCAATAACATACAGCAAAAACTAAAACCCCAAATTAAAAAACAAAACAAAACCCACCTCACCCAGTAAAAATCCAGCTGGGTCGAGCGTCTACAAAGGATCGAAACTCTCTCATTTGTGTTACAGTTTTAAATTTGTATTTACTCTTAAAGTGTCCACACCCACTGGAATTCAGTTCAGTTTTATTAATATAGTGTCAAATATCAAGAACGCACTTTATATTGTAAGATAAAGATTCTGAGATAGTACAGAAACAACCCCAACAATCAAACGACCCCCTTCGAGCAAGCGCTTGGTGACAGTGCAAAGAAAAAACTTCCATTTATCAGGAAACCTCTGGTAGAACCAGGCTCAGGGAGGGCCAGCCATGTGGCTGAAGGTGAGCGGAGGAAGGCAGGTCAAAAGAGCCAGAGAGGAATAATATCTCAGGATTAAATGCAGAGTAGTGTGTAAAAAGGTGAATGAAGAAGAACCATGAGAAGTCCCTGGCAGCCAAGACCTATTGCAGTGGAACTAGAGGAGGATTACGGGAACATCTGATAAGCCCTAATGATAAGCTTTATCAAAAAGGAAAGTTTGAAGCCTTAATCTTCAAACTTTCCTTTGACTTTTCCTTTGTTAAAATCTGAGAAGTAAAATACAAGATGTCAAAAAGTGAGCCTGTGAGCTTGAAGGCTACTTCTGGCATTAGAATGC